CGAAATCTTCATGCTTTGATTCGGGGTGTGCTTCACTTATGGGCTTTTATCTTGCAGTAAGATGTGATCTTCGGTAGTAAGCAGAGGCGAAGAACACAGGACAAGTCCAAGTCCCGGTAACAACCCTGGCTGCTTCTTTTTCGAGGCCGTCGCTCTAGCCACCACAAAGGCCAGGAGCATCGGTAGGTTCACCCCTCGTCCGAAGGCTGTCGCAAGCTCGAGGCACAAGAACAGCCAGTCACAACTAACCCTAACCGAACCCCTAAACCCTAAACCCCAAACCCTAAACCGTCAAAGATGGCTGACAACGCGGCACACTCAACCCTAAACTCTTCAACCCCCAAAGCCTGCAGGCTACCAACCCTAGCCGAGGACAACCCTCCAGAAGCGCTCAAAGGCCTGGCTTGAGACAAACAGTCCTACAAAGTACCCAGAGACCCCAATATCCCTTAATTAGGGAATATACCTTAAATTATAGTAGGACCCCTAGTATGATTTAAGGTACATTCCCTAATTAAGGGATATTGGAGTCTTGGGGTACGGCTTAGGGCCTGAGGGGTTTAGGGCCTAGCTTAGGGCCATGAGGGTTTTTGGATGCGAGCTGTAAATGAAAAGAAGGTCGGGACCTTCATAATTGGGGTTTTGGGGTAGGGTTTAGGGTTTAGGGTTTAGGGTTTAGGGTTTAGGGTTTAGGGTTTAGGGTTGGGGTTTTGGGGTATATTGCACTATAATCATAATAAGGAACCCCCCGACAATAATGTAGGTAATTATTAAGGCCCCTATATTGGAGCCATAATAAGGAACCCCCCGACAATAATGTAGGTAATTATGAAGGCCCCTATATTGCAGCCCCTAGAGCTGATCATGGAAGCTCCTGGAGAAGCCTGATACAGGCTGGCCTTCACTGATGTCTTTCACCTTGTCCCGGAGCTTGCTGTAGAAGTCCTGGGTTTAGGCTTTAGGGTTTAGGGTTTAGGGTTTAGGGTTTAAGGTTTAGGGTTTAGGGCCTGTATCACAACCGCTCTGCCCCAGAAGTATGTAGGCTTTAGGGACGCGGGGTGCTTGGGTTGGGGATGCTTCTACTCCTTTTTCTTGAAAGCCTGAGGCCCAGTCTTGTTAGAGAGAGAGAGACACATGGCGGGCGCAGTCCTTCCAGCGATTGTGGGAGCACTGTGTCAAGCTGAGGTGCAATAGTAGACCCGAAACTCCAAAACTCTTAAACTTCTTAAGCCCGAACCTGCTCCCACAAAGCCTAGACTCGAAATACACAAAACGAAGATTTTACGGGGGTTAGGATAGATTGCCGACCAAAGCCCGAAGGTTGGGACGGATGCAAGTTTTCGAGTATACTTATACCATACTGCAGTTATCCAGGGTTTAGGGTTCAGGGTAAAGGATTTCGGGCTTAGTTAGGGGCTTTCGGGTTCGTTGTAGTATAAGTCCCAAACCTGCTTCCCTGAATCCCTAAACCTTAAAACCCTAACCCTAATCCCAAATCTCTAAACCCTAAATAAACCCCAAACCCAAACCCTAAACCCTAAACCCAAATCTCAAAGCCCTAAACCTAAACCCTAAACCCCAAACCCTAAACCCAAATCTCTAAACCCTAATCCCTAAACCCCAAACCCGACAGACCCGGTCGGTGCCATCGTCCTGCGCCGAAGTCCCGGGCTCACCGAGTTTCACCTGGCATGTGCTCAAATTCTGGGGCCTCAATACTATTAATACTAATATTCATCTTTAATACTGATAGTATTAAGTATACTATTAGTATAACCAGAATACGGTTTGGGAGAATGTTATAGCATAAATAAATGTAGTTACGTATGCTCATCTACCGAGTATGTTACAAGGGGAAGGCGCTTCTGAGTACTAGCGTCCATACCAGGTGGGTTTGAGATGAACCAATGCAAGGTTCAGCTGCCTGCATACAGGCCGGATAACTTACACGAATATTCGTGCACAGTTTCAGCTGGTGGCACGTACATCTGTCTAACTCCTTCAACTTGCATACTCTGTGACTAGAGGACACTGAAACCATGTAACCCCACTCTCCAGAAATCTCTCGTTGCAAGACAACTAATCTCTCTCTCTATATATATATATTTCTTTCTCTCTCTCTCTCTCTCTTCCTCTCTCTCTCTCTCTATATATATATATATGTATGCATATGGGTATACACACATATAACTATATATATATACATACATACATACGTCTCCGTATGTATGTATGTACGTACGTACGTATGTATGTACGTATGTAAGTAAGCACACATAAATGTGTGTATGTATATATATATATATAAATATGAACGAATTTAAACAAACACATATATACACACACATACATATATATATATATATATGTATGTATGTATGTACGTCTATATATATATACACATGTGGTTATACATGTGTACACACATGCTGTGCATTCACATACAGACACACACCCCTGTATATATATATATATAAACACTTGCATACTTACTTACTTACTTACTACTTACTTACTTACTTACTTACTTACTTACTTACGTACTTACTTACTTACTTACTTACATACATACTTACATACATCCATGCATGCATGCATACATACATCCATACATACATACATACATACATACATACATACATACATACATACATACATACATACACACACAAGGATACACATGCATATATATATATATATATATATATATATCCTCAACAAAGCCTGAGAACCATAAACCCTGATCCCTAAACCCTATAGTCTCGGCCGCGAGCGCGACCTAGTCGCGAACCGGATTTCAACGGCTCGCAGCGGCCGGAAGATCCTAAACCCAAAATCCAAAACCCAAAAATCAAAACCCAACATCCAAAACCCCAAAACCAACATGCGAAACCCCAAATCCTAAAACCAGAATCCTAAATCCTACATCCTAACCGGTCCTCATCAATTGGAAATCCAGAAATCCTGTCGGCCTTGAAAAAACGGCCTTCGGAAAAGGAGCGGGCATTACAAAATCCACCTTTTTTGGGCTTTCGTGGGTTCTTCCAGTTCCAAGGCTTATTGCAAATTCGATCCATTTTAACTTTTTGAATAGCCACAGGGGCCTCGGAGGCCGAAAGTTTGCTCGATACCGCTGCCGGCAGCGGGTGGCTCAGACCGAAAGTTCGCTGCTTCGATGGCTAAACACTAAACCCTAAACCCTAAACCCTAAACCCTAAACCCTAAACCCGTTTCAGGGGGTTTAGGGTAAATCCTCCAGAAGGCTTCCGGCAGCGGGAGCTCCAGGCCGAAAGCTTGTTACTCCGACGTTTACCCATAGGCCCCAGGGTCCGTGATCTAGAACCATAGGCTGTACCCATAGGCCCTAAAGTATAAAGAGATCATAGTGAGGAACCCTAAAACGGAAGGTTTTATAGGTTAAAAGGTACCCATAGGCCCTAGAGTAGTTCCTTTTTGGGGTTACGTTATAGGGTTCTATATATGAACCCCAAAAAGGAACTACTATGGGACCTATGGGTAAAACCTCCAGAGCATTTTAAGACCTCAAGAGCACGGCTTTCAGTGGGATCCCCAGGCCAGAGCCTTGATATCTTGACGTTTACAAATTCGGGACCACTGCCGGCAGCGGATGGCTCGCCCAGGCTGAAACCTTGCTACTTCGAAATTTGGGGGGTTTCCGAATATAGGGGACCCTAATATAGTACCCCCAAATAATCGGATCCTTATTATAAGGACCCGAAAAAAAGGTACCCCTAATTTTCGGAAACTCCCATTCGTGCCATCAAACATCTGCGCGCAAGTAAAATTGCATCCTTCGGCTACAACTTAACTTCCGCGCGATGTCAAGCCGATCCGAATCTCGGCCTATGGATCGTATTGCTTGCGATTGTGTTTTGTGTCTTTGTATGATAAAGAATCATTTTGCAACCTATACAACTGAACACACAACGAACCTCGGGTGGGTCGGGCGGGCAGCAAGCAGCCGCGAGTCAGGCTTGGCAGACCCTAAACCCTAAGCCCTGAACCCCAAACCCTAAAAACCCTAAACCCTAAACCCTAAACCCCAAACGCTAAAAACCCTCAACCACCCCTGAAGAAAGCCCAGGCACTTGCATCATCAAGGGCGGCTCATTGAAAACGTGGTTGGGGAAGAACTCCTTACTTGTGTTTAGGGTTGAGGGTTTGGGGTTGAGGGTTCAGGGTTGAGGGTTTAGGGTTGAGGGTTTAGGGTTTAAGGTTGAGGTTTTGGAATTGAGGGTTTAGGGAGTTTAGGAGTTTTCTAGGAGACAGCAGGCTTTACAAGCCAACCTTCCACATCTACATGGTTAAGCCCCTTTGAAACCTGAACCTTGTAATCCGAAACGCTAAGCCCAACCACCCCCCCCTTCCCAAACAAAAATGCACAAGTAAGTTTGGCTGGTGTTTTACGCGGGGATGCACTAGCTTTAGGCAACTGAGTTACTACCAATAAAGGGTCGCTTGAGGCTTAAGGGTAAAGAGGGTTGGCAACAAACTAGATACTTAACAACCCGTAAAACTAACTACTTAATCTGTATCGCTGCTATCTGTCTAACTCTCTGTCTCTCTCGCTGTCTCCGGAACTTGGGGACTATCATAGCATCCGAAGTCGCAGGATTTCACAGCCAAGTGTGCGATAGAACGTCTGAGTTGAGTTGCTCTCAGGACTGCCCTCTCTGCCCAGCAACTGGGGCGCGGGGCTACAAAGGGACTGCCAGTTGCAAGAGCCACTGTTTAGGGTTTAGGGTTTAGGGGGCGCAGGGACTGCAAGGGGTCTGCAAGCTGCAGCAGCAGCAGGAACGCAAGGCTGCACGTGTGCGGCGTTCGTGGCGGGGGAGAGGATTTGAACCTGCGCCTAGGTCGCAAAATCGAAACGTATTGAGATTTCTAAATCCTTTGTGACACCCGCAGAACCTCAACAAAACCGCTATGACACCGCATGAAACCCGATGAACCATACCGAACCCTTATACAACCCACTGTCAGAATACGGTTAAAACACCATGCAAAGACAAGATGAATCCCTTCTGATAGGATTCTTTGAGGACGCGGTAGACCAAGCGGATGTAGCCATCGGCGATGTCGCAATGCCCACCAAGCTTAGATTCCATGATCCTGCTCAGGGTTTAGGGTTTAGGGGTTTTGGGGTTGGGGTTTAGGGTTTATTTGGGTTCAGGGTTAGCAGGGCTCAAAGTCTAGGGCTTATCATTTCAGAGGGTTCAGAGTTTGATAGGTGCCGATTTCAGCGGCACCCCAAAACTGGTGTATGATGCGAAAAGATATTTTCTGAGCCAATAACGGAAGTGACAAGAGATCCTAAATCGGTACCTGCGGTTGATGACATAAATCCTGCATTACCCACAATAAGGAATATACCATAACTCCCGTAGTTTAGCGTCCTTAAGGTAATGCAGGATTTAGATCAACAGCAGTAGTTTAAGCTTTCAGGTTAGTGGTTCATGCTTGGGTTTGGGGCTTGACTAGGGCTTCAGGGCTGTATCCTCGAGCTCCGTAAGCCATGAGTTGCGGGTTCCGGGGCTAGGGGTATAGGGTTTGGGGTTCTTAGGGTACCAGAATTGGGGTTTTTGCAAAAACGATGCAGAAGGCTTTCGATCACAGATTACGTAGGCTAGCACATGTTCTCCAATCGCCGCCCAAAACCCTAAACCCACCTGAACGGCCCGCAATAGGGGACCTTGATACAGAAGCTCAATCACTAGGGTCCTTGTTTCAAACAATCGCTACACAGTAACCCCAACTCAGGGTTCAGAGGCCCTAAACACTAGAATCCTCAGGCTTAGGGTGTCGGATTTGGTAAATCCCAAACCCCTAAACTTAAACCCCTTTAGGCCTGATGGTGAGGCCTTTAATAATCAGAACAGGGTTTTGGGGCCCATTATGCTATGAATATAATAAGGAACACCCAAAATAGTATTGGTATTTATTTAGGCTTCTATATTAAACCCTAAATTCAAACCCTCAGGCACCCTGGCACCTGAAGTGGCGGCCGAAGAGAGGCAGGCTTGGGCGATCTCCTACAGCGAACTCGAAGAGCACGGGCGGGCGAACCTTCGATATAGTTTGAGTAGGGTTCCTTTACGGGGCAGTAGAATAAGCGTTCTGCAATGAACGTTTTAGCGGCTTAGGGTGTAACCGTGCGAATAGAGTCCTTTCGTTTGTTAAGGGTTCCTTGTAGGTGGGTACCAGAAGTAGGGGCCCATTATACTATAACTAGAATAAGGAACCCCAAAATAACATAGGTAATTATTAAGGCCCCTATATTATGTAAGGTATGTGCGTGAACATTTTCTACTTTGTCCAACCTCGAAATTACTGTCAGCTTCCGCCATAAGGTCAGAGTTCGTGTTAAACTGTTAGGGTTTAGGGGTTTAGGGTTTAGGGATTCCGGGTCACTGTGCTTCATAGTATAATTCATGGTCTGGGGTGGAACCCCCCAACCCTAAACCGACCTGAGGATGCGACCCAATACGCTCGCAGAGGCTTTGGGTACTAGCAGGGGGTCCTTAGTATGTTAATTCGGCTATTTCGGGGATATTGTTGTACAGTTATAAATTAAGCCCAAAAGCTTACATAGGGCTTAGGGCCTAAGCCCTGAAGCCCTAAATGGCCCCAGATCCTCTCTATCTCTTACTGAAACCCCTGCGCAATTGTTTGGGCTCCGAAATTAGGCTTAGGGTTTAGGGTCGTTTTGGACTGCTATAGTAGGCTTTGGGGATCCGGGAAAACACACACACACACGCACCTAAAAGCCGAAACCCACAGACCCCAGAACTTGTTGGGGTTTAGGGTGTAGGGACCCTTACATAACCCATTGTGAAACCCGCGTAAAAACGTTCTCGACTCCGAGGCAAATTCTCGGGTCCCCCCCTCCCGAAGCAAACCATCTTAACTTATGGTTTCTGTGGCTTCTCAGGCACCCGCAATATAAACCCATGAAAAAAGTCAGGGCACCTTAGCGAGCTTTCGCTCTTTCGACAGTTTGAAGACCATCGTCTGCTCTTCCGAAGGAAGGGTTCTGATGTTCTGAGCGATGCTCCTGACCTTCGCCAAAGACTCCTTAGCCTCGTTGATCTCGAACCTGGGCTGGCGGCTTAGCATCCTTGCAAGCTTCAAGCCTTACCTGGGCCCCAAATAACCTACTTTTTTAAGGACTTATATAAGGAAACTACACGAAGGAGCCCTAAAAAGGAAGGTTTTCTAGGGTCAAGGTAAGCCCTAAACCCTAAGCCAAGGTTTACGAGGGTTTGCAAGGGCTTCGGATTCGATTCTCAGGGTTTGGAGGCTTTGGTGCTTCAGGGCTTGGAGGTGTGGCTTGCGTTAGGGTCAGGCACCCTAAAGGCCTTAAGTTCAGGATTAAACTGCTCTAGAGTTCCAGGGTCTTCTTGAGTCATGATACGGTTGATGATATATATATATATATATGTATCCTGCATTACCCATAATAAGGAGTATACCATAATCCCCCACAGTTGAGGGCCCTTAAGGTCATGCAGGATTTATATCATCAACAGTAGGCGTAGTAGGGTTTAGGAGTCTTGGCATGCCCCTCGCACCGACATGAACGATTCGGGACTTTAGCCTTGCAGCTAGGACTGTCGCTAAATCGTGTTGCTAGCATCTGTACTCTAAGTAAGGGCTTTGGGAGGGACCCTTGATAGGGACCCTTGTAGGTTAGTGGGATTAATATGGAGACTACCTGGCTATATAAGGACTATACAATGGATATTTAAGGTAATGGGATTAAGGGTCCCTATTAGGGGTCCCTCCAACAGTCCTTAGATGTACCGCATCCAGACTTGAAGCGAGATTTAGCCGATTTAGCCTAGGGCTTAACGCGCGGCATAACCAGCCGTTATCTTAAGCCGTAAAGCCCCGACCTACTCCTAGCCATCCCCACAACTGATAAACCGCAACAGTGTGCCCTAGAGCCCAACATACCCACAGACTCCAATATCCCTTAACTAAGGAATATACCTTAAATTATAGTAGGATCCCTAATATGATTTAAGGTATATTCCTGAATTAAGGGATACTGGAGTCTCTGGGTACTTCCAGTCATGCAGAAGAATGGCGGGTCTTGCATCGGAGCCTTCATCGCTTCTGTGAGAAGCTCCTTTCCTTCAGGGGCATGATGATCTACACGGTTTAGGGTTTAGGGGTTTAGGGTTTAGGGTTTAGGGGTTTAGGGGTTTAGGGGTTGAGGGTTTAGGGTTTAGGGTTGCTGCCGGTTTGAGATTCGGAGGCTGGGCTATCGTAGGGGTGCTCACAGAAGTTATAGCTGCAATGGGGCTGTGATTCAAGTTCAGCTTAATTGCCATCCAAGCCATAAAGCCGTTAGAAAAGATACCTTCAACAACAAATCCTTCTCCCCGCCATCCCACAAAACGTAAGAACAAAACAAGCGCCTAAACCCTAAACCCAAAAGCCTAAACCCCAAAACCTAAAACCCAAACCCTAAACCCCAAAACCTAAACCCTAAACCCCAAATTCCTAAACCCTAAACCCAAACCCTGAACCCTAAACCCAAATTCCTAAACCCTAAACCACAATTCCTAAACCCTAAACCCCAAGCCCTAAACCCTAAACCCTAAACCCCAAATTCCTAAACCCTAAACCCCAAACCCTGAACCCTAAACCCAAATTCCTAAACCCCAAACCCTAAACCCTAAACCCAATTTCCTAAACCCGAAACCCCAATTCCTAAACCCTAAACCCCAGGCCCTAAACCCTAAACCCTAAACCCCAAACCCTGAACGGAGCTGCCCGGACCCTGAGTGGCAACTTCTTCCAGGGACTCGAGGTTCTCGAAACCCATTTCCTTGGTTCCCCGGCGTCCCCTTTAAGGTTTGGGGTTTAGGAATTGGGGTTTAGGGTTTCAGGGTTTAGGAATTGGGGTCTAGGGTTAGGGTTTAGGAACTGGGGTTT